GAACACTGTTAAGTGTACATGAGGGGGCAGGAGCAAAGAACATACAATATTCACACAATGAGTGCTCTGAAAAACAAAAGACTAAACAGGGTAAGGCAGAAGAGAGTGATGGCGAGGACCCCCTTAGGAGAAAATATTTGAGAACAGTCCTGAAAGAAACGGAGGAGCTAGCCATGCTAGGATGTGCGCAAACATTCCAGCACTAGAGAGATGCATACTACTGAAGCAGGAATGGGCTTGGTGTGTTTAAAGCCCAGTGTGGCTGAAGCAGAGTAAGTGAATGGGGAGTGGTAGAAGAGGAGGCCAGAAAACTAAATGGGGTTGAGATCAGGCAAGGGCTCAAAGGCCACACAGGGAAACTTAAAGTTATTCTTAGTGTGATAGGAAGTCAATCACTGGAAGGCTTTAACCAGCAAATAGGTGGACCCCATCTGGTCTACCTATTACAGATTATTTCAGCGGCTGTAAGGAAAATGGACTGTAGAGGGCGCTAGAATGGAACCACACAAACCGGAGAGTAGGCACCTGTAGGTGTCCAGCTAGGGAATGATGGCGGTTAGGACCTCACTAAGTAACTATGGAGTGGAAATGGTGGAACTGGGGATATATTTTTGAGATAGAACCAATAGGGCTTACTGACTGAGTAGGTGTGGAGGGTGATCGAGGGGATTCATGGACCAATCAACAAAAATGAATTGTGGACAGAATCAAGACTCACACTACATAGTATCATAGACAGTACTCAAGATCCAGACACCTTTAATGTGCTCTGGGGCTATTAGCTAATTATAGGATGGACATAGATGAAGCATTTTGCTACAGAACACCATCCCTTTTAGTGAGACCTTTATTCAGGTTTGAACACTCTGAGAAGACTTATCTCAGACACCAAAGGGAACTGCAGGAAATGGTGCCTCTTGATGAGACACATGCTTCCTTTCATTGGAGCAGCTGGGGAGGCTGCCAAGTGTAATGCGTTTTTGTATTGTCTCCTTTCCCTCATCCCCAAATTCTGGGAGGGCAGCAACTCCATTCACCATTGTACCAGGAGTGCCTGATAGAGTAAATGTGCAATCACATTTGCTGAATGACTATGGAATAAAATGGCAGAGGAAAACTACAGGGCTTAAAGGTAGCTTAAGTCTCCCTTAGAAGCCATATTTTAAGAGAAACAGCAATATCCAGGCCAACACAGAAGAAAAAGAATAAAGTTCAGGACAGGGTTGCGGTTGAGTAATCAGTAAGAGCCCTAGGATGGAGCCCATAAATGGGAAACAGTGATTTTGCAAGAGTTAGCACAAAGGGCCATGCAATAGCCATTGTTGGGCTTTTGCTGCTAAACTTGATGATCTCATCACAGGATCATCAAATGTCTGAGCTGGAAGATATCTTAGACAACTTTTAGATTAATTTGCTCATTTCACAGATGAAGAAAATAAGGTGAAATGGCTTTGGATTAGAACCCAATTTGCTGAACTCCACATGCCAACTTCTTTCCTATATTGCGCTGATTAGCAGTTAACCTTCCTTTTCCACATGTAGGCTCAAGGAGGAGTTTTCAGAAGCAACCTAGAGCGAGTCTTCTAATGTCTAAAATCTATTCCCAAGTACAATTCTCATTTTATGATTCAGTTTTAGGAAAAAAAAAAAGATCTCTCTTGATAAATCTTTCCTCTTATTCAGTGAAAATGAGGCAGCCCCTCAAGGTTCCCTTTTTGAAACGGCTGCCAGGCTTAAATTTAACACTTAATCCTACTAACAGAAGTACTGTTTATTTTTGATGAACAGTATTTATTTACCCCTCTTCTTTATGACTTTTCATTTTTCATACCATTTCAATGGACTTATTGTATATGTGTCTTTTACTATACGTCGCCTCAGATTCTTTTTGGAAGTCAGCCAGCTATAAATCACCAATAAGCCAAAATAGAAGGAAGATTTCATTTCTTTTGTGCACTGGGACTGCTGCTTCCAGAATGGTGTCCGTTTTCAAATCCCCCCCTTGATAGAAAAGCTCAGACCTTACTTACCTCCTGGCTTTATATTTATAGAGAAGGAGGCCACCACAGGACAGATTGTATACAAATGACTAGTTATAAAATTGAAGGGTCTGCCTACTAACGAGGCAAGTCCTTGGAAACTTCTGTGAAATGAAAACAAGATGTGGAAGGAGAGTGCTACGTTTCCTGCGTTGACGTGGCAGAACTTCACTTACAGCAGCCCCCTGTGGGAGGCGAGGCAGCACAGGCTGTGGATGGTAAGCAGGTGGTGGACTGTGTCACATCCAACTCCAGGCTCTCAGCTAACTACAACCACAAGCCTGACCCTCCCCAGACCAGAGAAATGAGATCACGTAGCCTTCATCTCTTCTGGATTCTAGCCATGTAAAGAGATTAAAGCACTCGTTTTTTGAAAACACGAGGCTTTCTCTTCCCTCCCTAAATGAAATTCCTCCTAAACCACAAAAATTTAACCCAAGCAGAATTAGGAAAGCAATAAAGGAGACCTAGCAGAGATCCTCCTACTCCCTCACAACTTCAGAGCCTTCTGCTGCCATTTCTGTGGAGGTAGCAAGAGAAACAATAAATAAGTCCCAGAAAATGTCAACTGTTTATGCATTTGAGCCTGAGACTTCCTGTGGCTTTTGTCTTTTACTCCAGTTTTAAAATTTTGTTCTTTATTCCTATGGTGTTGGCCATGATTTCCATGATAATCTAAGAGATATGTTCAAAAGAAAAATGGCTTCAAGGGTACTGTTGCTCCTGGAAATAGTCCTTCCCTAAAACATCCATTTGGATTCTGTTCATGATCTCCTCCTAGTCAGAGCCACTTTGTTCAGATAGAGACAAAAAGATGCTGCGCCACTGTTCTCAACACCTTGAAGAATGAGACAGATCCAAAAATCTAGTGTTTCTTTAAAAAAATCTCAGTAAAATTACGAATTGCAGGCAAGTCTATGGCATGACATCAGCATAGCACGTAAGTGCTCAACCTGAGTCCACACTGCCTGGATCTTTCTCTTTCTCTACCAGGTTACCTGTGAACTCTGGAAAAATTGCTAACCCTTGTGCAATATTTTCCTCATCTGAAAAGTGGGGATACCATTGGTGCTTTGCAAAGCACTTTATCAAACTTTGTTGTGTGTGAGAAACAATGGGAGGGACTTGTTAAAACACGGTTGCTGACCACCCCCCGCTCCAAAGCTTCTGATTCTGTAGGGCTAGGGTGGGGCCCAGGAATCTGCATTTCTAACAAGTTCCCAGATGATGCCTGTGCAACTGGTCTAAAGTCCACACTTTGAAAACCACTATCAAAGGGTTATGGTGTGGGCAGGGCGCGGTGGCTCACACCTGTAATCCTAACACTTTGGGAGGCTGAGGCAGGTGGATCACTGGGCTCAGGAGTTCCTGGCCAATATGGTGAAACCCCGTTTCTCTACTAAAAATACAAAAATTAGCTGGGCATGGTGGCACACGCCTGTGTGCAAGCTACTTGGCAGGCTGAGGCATGAGAATCACTTGAACCTGGGAGGCTTGAACCTGGGAAGTGGCGGTTGCAGTGAGCAGAGATCATGGCACTGCATGTGCCATGATTTTTTTTGTCTCAAAAAAACAAAAAGGTAGTGGGGGTTGGGGGAGATTATGGTGTGGATTATGTAGTTGTATATGTAAGTGTTAACTGTGACTATTTGTGTCTACTGCGGTTATCAATATCCCTGGCAATAGGTTAACAATGTTAAGGGTGACATTATTATTATTATCTTACCAGTTGTCCCATCAAACTTAGCAATCATATTAAACTTGCAGTTAAACCCTAATTAATCTATCATAAGAAACACCAGTATAGAAGAGGAGAAATCCTATTAATTTCCTAACAGACATATCCTTAAAGACTGTACACATTCAGAAGGGGCTGTAAAGTGTTATAAGTACTTTAAAGTGACAGATTGTTGGGGTCTTTTTCCCTCTAAAACTTGTCAGTACCCATCTGTAGTGAGGCAGAAGGGAAACAAAAGCTGACACAGCTACTTCTTGAGGTTTCATGTCTTTTCTCTTAGTTACAGTAAAAGCACCAAAGAGATTTAGTCATTATGGTTAAAAGGAATTTTTCAACTCCCTTCAGGTTGAAATTAAGGAGCCCAGCAAACGAGGACGTTGCATTGGCAGTTAGAAACAACAGTTTTGAAAGGGCAGATGAAACAGACTCACTAGAAGACAAGGGGATTGTTGAAAAGCCCTCCACAACAAAGGAAATGAACGCAAATCCCTAACCTGCGGGGCGTTCCAGCAACCCTAAGGCCAAATATAAAGCGCTCTGATGAAAAGCCTCAGCGTGTTAAGCTTTGTGTAGGGAAAGAGAGTATCAAACATAAGGTGGAAGGTTAAGATGTTTTTCTTGTAGGAGAACCCTTTGACCACACTTGAGCCTGAAACAGAATGAGGATCTGGAAACCCCCACTCTGTCTTTTCTGTGCCACGCATCAGTCCTTTCAAGCAGAGAACTTTTTAATAAACTTAGGTCAAGTGTCTCTTCTGTTCTAAGCATGGGGGTACTCCAGGTTGAACGAGAGGCTGCCAGTCCTTGGTAAACATCTAACTTTTCCAACTCAATCAGATCTAAGGTTTCGGCAAAATTCTCCAGTGAAACATGAGAATTAGATAAAGCATTCTTGCACTGTGATGGCTTTTGACAAATTAAACAAAGGGTGCATGTTTGCAAGAGTGCAAAAATACGCCTTGCCTTGACAGTTAAAAAATTTAATGTACGAAACCACTTTCCTTGACACTTCAAAAATGTACGTGATTATCAGCACTGAGCTGTTAGAGGGACTCCACCGAGGTGGGTCTTCTTTTCCATCGGGCTAAGAAACAGAAGTGGGCAGCCCGTGGGTGAAACTTGGAAGTCTGCCTCTCCAGCCCAAAGCCTCCCTTGGACTTGGCACGGGTGTAGGGAGCGAGACACGGGTCCGCAGATGGGATTCTGGGGTTGCCACGACTCACCTCGCCAACTTCTCCAGTCTCGCAGCGCCCCGGCGGCCCGCTCGGGGGCGCGGACGCTGGGGCCGGCGCCTCCGAACTCCCGGGCTGGCCACGGGGAGGGCGCCCGGTGCCGGCCAGCGCGCGGGGACCGGCGCGGGGTGGCGCTGCGGGGCGGACGCGGGGCGTGCGGGAGGCGCTGGGGGCTCAGCGCGGCCAGCGCGCAGGGACAGCAGCGCCAGCAGCAGCGCGGCCAGCGCGAGCAGGAGCAGCGCCGCCGCCTTGCTGCGGAGCTTCATGGTGCGGCGCGGCGGCGGCGGCAGCGGCCCCCAGGCGGTTCGGTCCCTCTGCGCATCGCGGCGGCGGCAAGACGAGTGCAGCAGCGCGCGGCGGTCGCCTCCTCCGCCCGCCCGCCGGGGACTGGGGTCGTGGCGGCCGGCGGGCGGCCGGCGGCGGCGGCGACGGCGGAGGAGGAGGAGAGGGAGGAGAGGGAGGAGAGGAGGGGGAGGCGGTGAGAGCGGGGCTCCAGGAGGAGCAGCCTGAGCCTACCGTACTGTGTGGAGTAGCCGCCCCTCCGCCCACCCGCCCGCCGCTAGGCGCTCGGAGTTCTGGTAGCTCAGACTCAAAACCACTCCATTCATTCATTCGTTCGTTCGTTTACCTCCCCGTTCACTCACCCACCCATGCCATCCACTCTTCCCGCTGATTGTCATCATGCCATGATTCACTTATTTGTTGATGTATTCCATGTGTTTCATCCTTATTTATTTTATCCATCAATCCACACATTTGTGCACTTATCCACACATCCTTTCAGGCAAGAACATCTCTGTCCTGTTTGCCCAGTGCAGGGATCTGCGGGTGGTGGTGTCCAGTAAATATCTGTTGAATAAACCCCTATTGCTGCCTCTGTCTTGCCACCTCCCTTTTTCCTGGAGGAGGACATATTCAACAAGGACACATGCAATAAGGCAAAGAGAGTAAAAGTAACATGTGATTAGTAGTTGGGGCTTCAGACTCAAAACACCAAAGTAGAACTTGGGACAGCTAGACTGGCCAGAACAGATCCATGTAGTCCGAAGAAATTAGAGAATGAATTTCAAAGTTTGGATTTGAAATCTGACACCATCACTTAACTGGCTTGGTGATCCTGAGGAAGCTGCAGAACTTTCTCAAGCCTTAACTTCCTTACATGCAAAATGGGCATGATAATACTGCTTACTACAGAGGCGTTTTGTGGGCATTAAATTAAATAATGCCTTCAAAGAAACTAGCACAGTGCCTGGCTCACGGTCAGTGCCCAATAAAAGTTCTGTAATGATTAGTTCAATAAAACATAGCTTATCATATATACATAAACACACATTGTATTTTTTTTCTGGCACAGATTTGAGAGAGAGTAATAATTTCACAACACAATGTCAGAATGGCTTCTTTGGAGACGTTAACAGCTACAATCGCCAGATGAAGGTCATAATTTCCAGACGATTCTTCCAGGGGATCCCCAGTTACAAATATGAAACATTAGGACACATCCTCTTATGACTCACGGTGAACTGACAGCCAGGACTCCATTAACTCTCTTTTCAGCACACCACAGAACAAAGAACACTAGTTATAACAACGTCCCTGAGTTTTTTAGTTTTTTAGTATTTTTTTTTTCTTGCTCTGTCGCCCAGGCCGGAGTGCAATGGTGCAATCTCAGCTCTTACTGCAGCCTCCGCCTCCTGGGTTCAAGCCATTCTCCTGCCTCAGCCTCCCAAGTAGCTGGGATTACAGGCTGCGCCACCACACTCGGCTAATTTTTGTATATTTAGTAGAGACAGAGTTTCACCACGTTGGCCATGCTTGTCTTGAACACCTGACCTCAAGTGATCCACCCGTCTCATCCTCCCAAAGTGTTGGGATTACAGGCGTGAGCCACCGTGCCCAGCCTGTTGCTGAGTTTCTACAAGATTCCATGTTGCTTTATAAATAATCTAAAATTCAGTTATATACTGAATTATTCTTATATTAGCATTTTATTTTAATTCCTTGAGAACCCATTGTATTTAAAGTTCTAGGGATGAGAATATTTAGCAATTTGGAAGCTCTTGCCAAGCAGACATCTAGAAAATGGCAGGGTGCAAGTTCAGTGTGGGGGACATGTAGGTGAGTAAGCGCAAAGAATTCATTAGTTCTCAAAGATGAGGGGGAAGGTGCCATCCTACTCGGAAGCATCTGAAATTGTGGGAAGGCTGACAGGTTCTACTAGCATATGCAAAACCTCCTGCAATGCTCAGGACATGACAACAACGAAAACTATCCTGGGCCAGCATGGGACCCTGTTGAGAAACACTAGGCCAGGCTAAGGCCTGATGTTTAGACCTTTCAGGTTTAGAAATGGCCACCACTATGTTGACATGTGGCCCAGAGAAGCAGGCATTCCCAACTCTGTCTTGCCCCCTCCCTTCTACCTCTGGGAGGACAGATGCAACAAGGATAAGCAAAGGTAAAGTGAGTCAAAGTAACACTTGATTAGTAACCAGGGTTTTAGCCTTAAACACCAAAGAATAATGGACCAAAGAGAGGACTCAGTTTTCTTGAACCTCACTGAAGCAAAAAAAAAAAGAGCCTGATTTGCCTCCTTCCACTGAGTCCAAACCCAACTTTTGGATTTGTTTGGATTGCTCTGATTCGTCGAAAATTACATCCTCTAATTTTTTATTTTTTTGGATGTGGGCAAACCTCATTTTCATTGCAAAAGACTTCATTTACAGCACATTCAATAATGAACCAACAGGAGAGTTGCTGACTTTGGAACATGTGAATATATAAAAATCCCTTACAATTCAGGTAGTCAAGATAATAAGCACATACAAGGAAAGCAACCCTCAATTTTCTGAAAACTTTTACATTTTAAAAGATGACTAGGCATACTTGGAAGTTCAAAGCAGTAGGATGTCCCTTGCAGGGAAAGGAGGAGGAAAACCCTTTTCCACGTTGTTAGACAAATGTGTATCAAATATATCCCAATTCCACTTGATAAAGTCAGTTGGATGACCTCTTTGAACCAAGCTAGGGCAGAACACTTAAGAGGGCCTTGGGTGGGGATGTGACTCCAGGAGAAGAGGAACGCCAGATCCCATGCAGCGCCAAACACATCCGTTCCACCCTCTAACACAGATGAGGCACGTGGCCCATGTCCGTGGACACCAGATACACAAGAACAGTCATCAGATGGTTACTGCTCCCACGGCCTTGTGTTTTCTAATGGTCTTAATTCAGGCCATGGAGAAAATCCTTTACCACCAAACGCAAACTGCCATTGAACTTAAGTCATAGCCTGGGCGACAGAGCAAGACTCCGTCTCAAAAAAAAGAATGTTATGGGGGAAATTCTTGTAACACATACATGAGGACTTCTATTTAACTCATTAGAATAATGATTACACAATTGACATTCCTGTTTTCATAAGGTTTTGTTCTCTACCCTGGAATGGCTTAAGAAAAAGTTGTCTATTTTTGGTTTTATTTTACACTTTCAAAAGAGAGGGAACAGAGAGAAAAAATGTGACTAACTGCCCAACTTTGGGACCCAGCAGCTACAAAAGTGGACTTCTCTGACTCTAGGTCCATCAGATTTGGGGGAAGTTTCACTGCCTAGGGAAGGTCAGAGAAGCCCATTACACCCCCAGTCCTACAGAAAGAATTCTACAGTTAATCTATCATAGTGTTCTAGCAAAGCATATGTTGAAAACTACAGGTGTCAACCTAACATCTAAATTTTTTAAAGTAGCATTTCAGCAACAAACAAGCTCAGAGAGCTCATCACAAAAGTGAAATAACAGAACTATTGCTCAGATGTCTGAAAAGTCAAGCTGCTGCCGTCAGCTCCGCCCACTTGAAGGCTTAGGCAGACATGTAAGGTGGCGGCGGCTCCTTGGCAGCACCATTCATAGTGGCATCATCATACACGGGTAGTGTCATTGCTGGTAACATAAACCAGGACATCGGAGGAGTTCCTGGCATTGGTAGCAGTTCCAAAACAGCTAATCAAGTAACCCTTAAAAGTCAAGATAATGCTAATAAACAGAAGAATAATAAGGACCAAATAGGTAGGATTCACTGACATGACATCCTCTCTGTAGGGAAAATTAGGAGGCAGTTGTCATGTGTATTCCTGAATGGAGTTTGGACAAACAAGCACAGTAATTGCAACCAAGGTATTTAGGGCAAAATCAAAGATCTGGTAGCAGAAGAATGGGATGATCTGGGCTGTGTATTGCTTGTATGCTCCGTAAGCAGCCAATAGCACATATCAGGATCATGAGAAGAGAAATCACAATGGCAATGCACATGTAGTTCCACACGACTGGGGAGGCCTCAGAATCATGGCAGAGGGTGAGAGGAACTTCTTACCTGGCGGTGGCAAGAGAGAATGAGCTACATCCTCTAATATTATAGAAAAGGCTTCCAGACTTCCTTACCCATGGCTTACCCAATGTCTCACTTAAATGATAGAAAAAAATGCTTAATTATAATGCTTTATAAATCATCTAAAATTCAATTATATTCCAAATCATTGTCATATTAGCATTTTATTTTAATTCTTTGAGAATCCACTGTATTTAAAGTTCTGGATATGGGAATATTTAATAATTTGGAAGCTCTGAAATCTATTTTTTCTCCTAGAATCTTGACTCCTCTAGTTACCTAGTGGCTCGAGCCAGAAATTATGTGAAAACCATCCTCTTTCCCTCACCTCTTATATGACTGATCTATTGTTGCAAAACAAATGACCCACAACATTTAGTGGCTTAATATGCATAATCTCATAGTTTCTGTCAGTCAGGAATCTGGGCATAGCTTAGCTGGGCCCTCTGCTTCACAGTCTCTCACAAGGCTACCATCAGTTGTTGGCCCACCTCTGTGGTCTTATCTGAAGGCACAGCTGGGGAAAGATCTGCTCCTGGTTTCACTCATGTGATTGTTGGAAGAATCTAGTTTCTTTCTTTCTTTTTTTTTGAAGTTCAGCTTATCAGTCTTTTCTCTCAGGGTTAGTAGGTTTGGTGTTTTGTCTAAGAAGTCTTTGCCTACCTCTTGGTCTCAAGAAATTATTTTATCTTCTTTTACGATAGAGCTGTCTGGGCTGGGCATGGTGGTTCACATCAGTAATCCTAGTACTTTGGGACAGGAGGTGGGAGAATCACTTGAGGCCAGAAGTTCAAGATGAACCTAGGCAACAAAGTGAGGCCCTATGTCTACAAAAATAAAAATAATAAACAAAAGATAGAAGTTTCTGTGATAATGGTAATGTT